AATCTTTTCATGATTAACACTATTTTTTTTTTATGTCCAACCTCTAAAATGCAAATTTAAACCATAACCCCAAATTCTAAATCATAATTGACGTGGTATCCATATTGGCGCTCATATTGCAACAAGTCTTTGGAAACTTCAAATTTTTGAAGAAAAGACGTACCAGAAGGAGACAAGAAGAAAAAAGAGACAGAAAGAGACAAATGGTTAAAAAGAAAAGTTATTTCTTAAAGGATATTATGTAGAGTCGCTATATAAGCTAATATGGGATTATCAAAATGAGTTATTTATGCCAATTCCTCCAGAAACAATCCACTAGGGTGTAACCAATTATTGCATCATTTTGTTTAGCAAAAAAAAAGAAAAAAATTATTGCACCATCAGTTTTGATGATCTCGTAAGAGTATGGATTCATCTAATGTAGAGCAAAAAGAAGAATGAGTAAGAAGATCCAACGGTTGGGAGTGGCCGACAAAGGGAGAAGAAGATGGGAGAAGAAGACAAGAGCAATAACATGTGTATTGTTACTTTGTTAGCTACATTGCTTCGTGGTTTGATTTTATGATCACACCCTAAACGGCTAAACCACTAAATTATGTGTGGATGTAAGTTGTAACAACATATATTATATACAATATATAATAACTCGGTTACTTATACGTTACAACTGAAATCCTTTCTTCAAAAATCCATATCTTTTCCTCCATATATAAAAAAAAGTTTTTAAGTTTCCTTCACCATTCCCTTATCCACATAACACATGCACCCGCTTTATGATTGGTAAGTCTATAAATTGCGTCAATGAATCTATTTTTGTTTTTATATTGGATCACTATAGTCTATAGTAGAATTTTCTCTATTTATGGTAACAAGAAAGTCCCATACGTTTTTTTTTGGCATCTAAAAACATTATATTAAAAACAGATAAGTTATTACACAAAGGATCAAGGCCGGTAGGGATAAACCAATCCGTAGCCATAACGACACGGATACGAATTCATCTAGAACTAAAGTCCAAAAAAGAGAAACAGTTCTAAACGGCTACCACACCAAAGAACCCAAGATCGAGAGGTACAAGCCAAACCGAACCAAAGAGATAATCAAAAGTACAACCCACCAAACACGAACCACAAGGCAAGGAAGCAAACGTTGAAGAAGCAGTACCACCACCCACAGAGGATGCGGTCAAATGCAACTCAGGTCGGAAGAAGACAATGAACACATGAAGCAAGCGACACCAACAAGAAGAGCAAACCAACCCACCGAGGAGACTCCAACTGATATCCAACCCTATGCTCACTAGTTAAAGGAGGCAAGAAATTGATCTACATCGCCGATTGAAGATTATTTTGAAAAAAAACGGGGGAAAAGCCACACTAAACTGCTGGGCGAGGGAGATTAGTCTCGTTATCAACATCTTCCAGAAATAAAAATCCACCAACAAACACTTCAACACAAACCAACAATACCAAGGAATCGGACGAGCAAGCAATACAAATAACCAGAGCTCCCGGCCGATTGCAAAGACTACAACAAACAGGTTCGACAAGCACAAGGAGCATACCAAAGGTCAAAAAGGCAACGATCAAACCTTACTCACCATCAGAGCAACTCAGGACACCAACCATCCTCTGCAACACATACCTCTACCTTCTATACAAGCTACAAAGACCCATAATAACTCCTAACCAGACCACTGAAACAGAGATCAAGGCTTGCAAATGAAACCGATGGGGAAGCTACAAAACCAGTCAAGCAGTGCCGCAAAGACCACCTCAAAAACCAAACACACAGTCCAGCCTTGACGAAGCAATTAACACAACACCAAATGACCGAGACCAAAGCCCATCTCTAGTGAAGGAAGCCAAAACAAACCTCTAAAGACGAGAAAAAGAAGATAGAAGCCAATACCAACAAATCCAACGTCGATAAGCCTCCACCATGGAAAGAAGGAATCGAGACCAGAAGAAAAGCGCTCGGGAGAGGAAAAGCCAGAGGGGGCCGTTCCAACCTCTAGGAACATTGCTAGCTTCGCCAACGGAAACAGAGAGAAAGAGAGCACCCTCCCATCTACACCGAAAACCTCAACCAGAACTCGACAAATCCTCAAAGTCCTAACCACGATAGAGTCAAAAGAGGAAAGAATGAAAACCCAGAGACTCAAAGAGGATCACCGCCGGATCTAATCTGCAAATCGGAAACCATCACTATCCCGGATCCACAAACCAGATCTACCAAAGAACCCCCACAAGAAGAGCCAAAGCCACCACAGCAACATGGCCCCGCCGCTGACAAGCCTAGATCTCGCCACCAACACCATCGAAGACAAAACCCACCCAAAAGAGCAGGCGCAAGAGAAGGAGGAGCGAACCAAAGCAAAGAAAAAAGCTAGACAAGAGAAAGGGAATCCTCGACGGTGACGACGAGATTCGCTGAGCACCGGAGAGGGTTGAACAGAAACAGAGATTTGCGGCGGCTAGGTCAAGTTATTTGAGAGAGAATGCCTTTCAAAGGCCAGAAAGTCCCATACGTATGTCTTATGATAAAAAAAATGAGGGTGTAATTACAATCTTGGTAATAGTTTTTTGAAATTATACGTATTTCTATCTAGAGAAAGAAAAATGGTTTTTTTGGTGAATAACCAAAAACAAAACAAAAGTTGGGAAAAATAGGGTATGTGGCACAATCTAAGTCTTTAGATTTAGGTTTTTTTAGTTAGTTTGTAAATTATAATTTTTTTGTTGTATTAATGGTAAATTTTTCCAAAGAAAAATTGATTCACTTAAATAAATAAATTTCTACAAAACTGATTGGTCCGTGAAAACTTTATGAAAAGCAAAGCATAATAATTAACCTTGATTTTTGAAAGGAAGACTTAATTAAGGTGCCTTGGGTATTGAAAACAAAAAATACTAGCTTAAATACAGATTTTTCTAATTATTATATAGAGTGATGTTAAAAGTTTGAATATATTCAGAAAATTCATATTTATAGAGATAGAAATGTGTATATACACATACACATTGCACACACATCCACGAAAAAACGGAAGAAAATCCGGTGGCGCCCAAATCACTGCAGTATAATAATCTTAAAAACTTACTATTATAATATTTCTATTAATTTTGCTAAGCTGTGTATTTAATCTTATTATTATTAGTCTTCCCAAGGCAACAACAAACGAGAAGAAAGAGACAGAGAGAGAAAAAGCAAGACCCAAGGTCCAAGGTCACTTTCTTCAACCTCACAGCTCCGGTCACCGTCGTAGCCACCACCATTCACCGGATGAAGTTCCAACCGTTATTTCCCCCTGTGAGAGAGTTCTCCATGGGAGAGAGAGTGTGAGGACCTCACTAATGCTCCACATGGTTCTGTACTGCTATTGCTCTTCTTGTTCTGCATTGGTTTAGTGTAAACCCTAAGCAATCAAACACATGCTTCTTGTCTCCTCTTCAAGCTTCAGCCAAAAGATAAGAGAGCTTTGCTTTGGATCATCAATCATTTCACAAACCCATTACCTTCGTTTTTCTTTCCATAGATTCAATGGAGAGAGAACCAAACCATTTCATCAATAAACAGTTGGA